TGAAAAGAGAAATCTTATCTGCAAAAGCAATGAGGGGAAAAGGACGGTTAGTTCTGACTTAAGCCTAAGGTAGGTTTAAGTTTTATTTCCAAATGCAATTTTTTGTACATAATTCTGTATTTGCAAGTTCAACTTTCATGATTAAGAAATTGCACTCTGTATTTGTATGAGATGAACAAAGCATATTTTTCAGTACTTCACAGTACAAACATTTGTAACTAAAAATGCAAAGTCAGAACACTGTTCTGTGTTGTATCTGAAATAAAGGTATTTGAAAATGTAGAAAACATCCAAAAATATTTGAAGTAAGTGATATTTTATTGTTTAAAAGAGTGATATTTTCAGTTGCTTGAGAACCCTAATTTTTTATTATATTCAATTGTTAACAGATACCAACACTATCAGTAGAACAAGAAAATTAATCTAGAGAGTCATCTAGCAGTTCAGACAAGGGTATGTCTACTTTGCAAAGCTATTTCAGGATACCACAGGTATACCAAAATGCTACCCCACATCTTTTGAATGCGTCTGCTAGTGCAAAATATAGCAGACTCGCTATTTTGGCATCCCTGTAATCTTTGAGGAGAAGGGACGTCTTAAAATTGGTTATTTCGAAATTTGGCGCATCTACACAGTGCCAAATTTCTAAATAGCCTATTTCAAAATAAGATATACAATTTGCTCTAAGGGTGCCAAGTAGATGCAGCTCAATACAGGTTGTACCTCCCTTAACTAGGAATCTCTTGTCCAGCAACATCAATGGTCTAGCAGAACACAGATGTTCCTGGACCACAGAAGCTAGGTATAGGGAAGTCAGGCTGCAGGGCAGGAACCTGGCTAGAGATCCTGGGCCAGAAGTGGAGCTGGTGATAGGTTGGGGAGCCAGTTTCAGGGGGATCTCCCCGACCAGAAAATTCCCTCATTTTGTACTAGTTGGGTTCTGAGGGTGCCAGACCAGGGAGGTCTAACCTGTATTCTTCTTATGTAAGGGAGGAGGGCAGAAATTGCAAGTGTTCTTGGAGAATTAAAGTAGTTTAACTACATTTCTTTTACCCATTACATGGGAGATCTTGAAATCCTTCTGTGTGGTTTGTATCTGAACATTAAAGGTTCCTCACATGCAACAGTCTTTCATCCTTCAAATTTTAAGTGAAGGGCTTTCAGATTAATATCTAACAAACAGATTTCTGGTTCTGAAAAAAAAAAGTGTATTGATAAACTCTAAGCAAACTATATACACTTCAGTTTCTCTCAGGGAAACTAGTTTGACAGGCTGTGTTACGGACATATTAGTATGACATTTATCACTAGGCTTTGACTAATTTAGTGACACCTAGACATTGAAAATACTAGGTTATGTTGATATTGCTTATCAAATACAAAGCTCTATTCTAAGACTTGGGTGTTTTCCCTGAGTCTAAAGTTAAATGTTAAAGCCTTCTACTAATGCTTTAAAAAAAAAAAAAAAAAACCCTAAGTCACATCTGGATTAGGTCTACACACATTTTCAAAATAGAGTGTTGCCTTTTTCTTGCATAATTTTTTAGTGTCTGAGTTTAAGTTACAGGCGTTGACAGTTGAATTACAGATACTGTCATAGGATGCCATATACAGCAATGGACACACGAGCTCAGTTAGGAGAAGCATACTACTCCAAATGCAACCATGACAGTAAAACTAAACTAAAAAGAAATAATCTTATTTGGGCAAGTTGTTGGTTAACTTGTAATAAGACAACAAGGAGTGGAGGCTAGACACCTTGCCGGAGGTGCAGTGAATTGCTGAACCAGTCATAGCCATTGTACAGATTAACTTTCTGCTGCATTCAGAGAATTGGTACAAAAATATGCATATCAGCCATATAAGTAGAATCACATATAGGATTCAGTAGCTATGCAAAACTGAGTAGATTAGACCATTCGATTTATATATAATGCTTAATAAGTCTGTGTGAAAGTTATAGGTAATGTGCTGCCCAGGTTTGAGAACAGATTTTTTGGTAAGTTGTAGGATCAGTAATTTTCACGTTTTGATGACTGAAAATAGGAACATCTACAAAATCAACAAAAGTGAAAGTTATCAAAAGCTTACTAACCTTTATTGTCTGCTGCTATAAATCCAAGAATATTTTCATGGCGTAGCATAACAGTTTGATAAATTTCTGCCTCACGGAACCATGAACGTTCTTCTCTTGAAGAGAAGATCTTTACTGCAACTTCTTCTCCTCTCCATTTCCCTCGCCAGACTTCTCCAAAGCGACCTTTCCCAATGCTTTCTTGAAGTACAATAGTCCTTGCAATTGTTCTCTGAACAAGTAAAGGTAGACCTAAAAAAAAGAAAATATTAAGATTAAGCTTGTTCAACCATTAGTAGAAAAGAATTGTTGATCATAGAGCAACAGTTAACTACTGAAGGCAATCACTATATAAGAGCTAAAAAACAATCCTCCTTATCTCACTTCAGGGCAAATCTAAATCAGGAGCTCAATTATTTTAGAATACAGGGCCTTTCAAGACAAACCTTCCTAAACATTCGTTGGGCAATATTAAAAATACTAGTATTACAAGTACCAAGTGACTTGAATAAAATTCTAAAGATGAATTTGGAGCAACTAAAATGTGAAGTTAGTCTCCTTTGAGTTTAAAGTTTTGGATTACTCATGCATTACTGGATTCTACATTAAAAGTAGCCACCCAGGAAGAGACTTGTGTATCATTTTGCAAAGCAGAGGGGGAAGTGCAGGGATGTATGAAGAGAGAAATTAAAACTATACCCAATTCCATTATTTAAAAACTGTTTTTATAAAAACTACTATATCCTCGTCTACCGTGCTTCATTTCTAGTCACTCTGACAAAACAAATTGTAGAAATGAAGTCCTGAGAAGGGAAAGAAGTTGGAGACATTGAGAAACTCATTTATGAGGAAAGATTATACAATGGTTTAAAGTGCTAGCTGACCCCAGCACAAGTTTTCTGTGTGCCCTTGACAAGTCACTTAATACTTCCTTGCCTTGGAGATGTGGAACTATTACTATTATCCCTTGTTACATTTTCCAGAGCTACTAGTGTTCTAGTTAGAGAAGAAATGGATTAAGTTTTTTTTTAAGCAACCTTGTTGTTTAATTACAAAGACAGGATTGTGTTCCTATATCCCTGAATAAAGCAGGAATAAGCAAATAGCAAGAGATAAGTTGCTTTGCTCGCAGTTCCAGGGCAATTTCCAACCAGCACCTTACCCAAAAAACTCCCCATTTTATTTTTGTTTGTGATAGTATCATGCTACCAGAATTTCTGTCTGAAACTAAGGTCACACCTACACTCAAACTCAGAGCTGCACAGCTGTACTGATGCAGCTTCACCGTTGTAAGACTGCTTATGTAGCCACTCTGTGCTAGGGATGTAAAAAGTTAACCAGTTAACTGATAAGCATGCTTACTGGCTAACTGAAGCCTTGCCCCATGGTGGCCCAGCCAGCAGGGCTGCAGTGGGGCCAGGGCAACCCTTGCTGCGTCACAGCAGGGCAGTCCCTGCCGCCAACACCTGGTGGTTAACTAGTTAAATAACTGAACCAGTTAACTTGTTCTGGGCAGTTTATATAACCCTATTCTGTATTAAACAGGAGAGATCTCTTCCATCAAAATAAAGCTACCTCAATGAGTGGCAGAAGCTGTGTCAGTGAGAGCAGCTCACAGGCCAACATAACCCTGTGAATATTGCCACTTATCTTAACTAAACTTATGTCACTCAGGTGGTAGCGCAGAAATGGCCTAAGGCTTCTTTGTTTCTTTTCTGTGCTCTATGGTGTTTTTCGTGGCTTCTGTCACACAGCTGCAATCAAATCAATCCTCTGCAAAACTCCTCTGCAGAGATAACTCAGTTTCTGACTGGTCTTGCATGGCCTGTGCTTTGGCTAGTGGTTTCTATTGTTTCAGCTATCTATTCCACAAAGGAGCTTGATTGTCTTCTTACCGGTCTCCTGAACTATAGCTATTATGCCAAACAGCATCAATGATGAACAATCCTCCCTTCCCAATTTCTGCATCTCACCCTCCCAGTGAGTTCCATCCTGTATCTCTATGGCGTCTAAAATGGTGACACTCTGAATTATTATTTTTCTTTCTGAAATGGCTAAATTTACAAAATTTAACAGATATTTACAAAGCATTTGTATACATCACTGGTCCAACCAGTTAATACCCATACACATAATCTTCCTTTCCCCCACCCCTTATCTTCTGCACCGTGGGAGCGGGAGTCGGCCCCGGGGTTTGGCCACGCTGCGGGAGGGAAGGGAGTTGACCGGACTGGGCCAGGCCGTGGGAGGGGGGTTTGGCCCCGAGGCAGGTGCCCATGGGGGTTGGCCATGCTGCGGGAGGGGAGGAGCTGGGCCGCACTAGGGAGGTTTGGCCCCGCCACGGGAAGGGTGGAGGTTGCCCCTGGTGCAGGCTCCCGTGGGGGCTTGGGC